TGAGCACAACAACTCCAACAACCTGGCGCTCTACGGAGCGGGCGGCGGAGGCAGCACTGGAGGCGGTGGCGGCGGCGGCAGCGGGCACGGCAGCAGCAGTGGCACTAAATCCAGCAAAAAGAAGAACCAGAACATTGGCTACAAGCTGGGCCACCGGCGCGCCCTGTTTGAGAAGCGCAAGCGGCTCAGCGACTATGCGCTCATCTTCGGCATGTTCGGCATCGTGGTCATGGTCATCGAGACCGAGCTGTCGTGGGGCGCCTACGACAAGGTAGGCTTGTCCCCTTGCCCACCCTCCGGAGGCGCGGCACCAGGTGTATGGGATTGGGCACTAGAGGGAACCTTCCCCGGGACGATCGGGAGCTCCCGCCGGGACAGCGACCGCGGCTAGGACGCCAAGCCCTGGTTGGCTGGGCGGCTCGGAGAGACCTTTCCGCCTGCCGCCGAAGTTCTCCAGGCGCTGAGAGTGCCTGGCGCGTTCAGGCACAGTAAACAAGTTGGGCAGTTGTGGGGAAAGCTTGCGTATTCCTCTCCCGGTGCTCGTATTTAGGAGGCCAGGTGCTTTTAAATTGCAGCGCAAGTCTGGAGGAGTTTCCTCCCGGGCTTAACCGACCAGGTTCTGCGAATCAACCCTAGATGGTGCAGCCTGAGTCCAAACCTTGAGGCTAAGCGGGAGGCTCCCAGTTGTGTGCGCTCGTGGAGCTTGGTTTTGAATAGCCCGCTCCCCGGGCTCAGGACCTCTGGAATGGGTTCAAGTCTACTCGCAGGGCACACAGACCCTCGTGGCCTGGAAGGTGGTTAAAAGTAGTCTTTTCTTAAACGTCTTCTTCCTGTGTTGCAGGCGTCGCTGTACTCCTTAGCTCTGAAATGCCTTATCAGTCTCTCCACGATCATCCTGCTCGGTCTCATCATCGTGTACCACGCCAGGGAAATACAGGTAATTCAGACTCTGCTTTTTATCAGTGACCCACCGCCAGGCAGTCAGCCTGAGGGGAGAGCAAGAAAGCAGGGGCTTTCCCAAGTGCTCATTATCCTGGCCTGAGGAGACTGAAGACATGTATTCCGTTCGCATGTCAGCATATGACCTACTCTTTCAAGAAGTTAAAGCAAAATAAGGCAGTGAAGCATGTTTATACAGTAGTTTCTGGGATGTACTTCTTGAATTATTAAGATTTGCCCTATTATCTTTATGTAGTTCCACTTCGTATCAGTCACATTTGTTTTTCTTAAAGCCAGTTATATATTGTTTTTAATCTGTATAGTAAATGTGTGTTCTTTAAGACATTATTTGTTATTGCGGAGGTTCATGTCCATCTGTATGTCTCCGACAAAGCAGCATAAAGAAGAAAATAGGTTTATTATGTTAATAGCCAACTGATATAAACATTAAAAAGCTCTAAATCTTTCCTGTATTCTCCAACATTTCAAAAAAGTTGTAAAAGTTTAGTTTATAGATTCTGTATATCTCTTAGCTTAATAGATATTTAGCTATGGTCACTAAATCATTTTTTAAAACGTCATTTAAAAGCTCTGGCCACTGCCCTCATGAGCTATCTTAATAGGAAGGTGTTGACATTTTTCAAATCCAGCTAGGAGTTCTGCTATTAGATTTGGCTGCTACTGACCATACCAGAAAACAGAAATTTTGGCTCCTTTCGTCACTTGCTGTAGCCCATAATCAAGGAAACATTAAGGTTGGTGAATTAAAATAACTAGGTATTTTCCTAGTTTTGAATCATTACAAATACATATTTTTTGATTTCTTTGAGTCATTGGTAGGTATTTTTAGTGGGATTAGGAAACTTTCATATTCAGGCTCCCTTTGAATTTAAGACATTGTAGGAAATGTGATATAATTTGATATTATTTTAAATTAGTAATTAGCAAACACACCCTTGCTTTAAAACAAAACAATTTTAATATTTGCCCAGATGAAAAAAAGATGTGCATAACCTCAAGTGAAGGAGAAATTACTTCATTTTGCATTTATATTTTCTAAAATTTGGAAAAGTGCATTTTGAAGGGATAAAGGTAGAGAACGAGAATTAGAACAAAAATGAGAATGTTTGGAGATAAGTAATAAACTGTCCTGGCAAAACAAGGCAAAATACATTTGAATTTTGTTATTTAAAAATTTACATAGATCCATGTTTAATTCAGTCCTGGTGATGGTACCCTTTTGAGATTCTTTCAGATGTTTTCAAGTGATACTGAAATTTCATTTAAACATTATAAATGTATCTTTTCACGTTTACCTGAAGAGTAGGCTGAGCTGGCTGGAACAAAACTGGTCCTTTGACTCAGTTTACAGACAGTTACCTGAAGTCAGAGTGGTGAGTGCCTTGCCAGATCCCTTAGCCAGAGAGGACAGTGCTAGAATAGGCCTGTCTCCCCGATTCCAGTCCACAGCCCTTGCTGTGCTTGGCTGCTTTTGCCAAAGCCCGGAAACATGGACATTGCTTTATGTGCAACTTCCCTCTACCTCCAAATGTTGTTATATGAGTAGGGTCATGCTTCAGAGATTACTCTAGAATGTTCTAGTGTATTTTTAAGAATCGAGTGACTTTAAACATTTTTTTGCTTGTAAGCCAAAGTAGTTTTACTTACCACACCGTGGAATGCTCCCTTGCTGATTTTTATTGAACATCACCTTTCCTGGTATTGCCTGTTTCATCTAGAAAGGACACAGCTAAACAAGCATTTATGGGGAGGACATTTGCTGGTATTAACATTAAGAACAAAGTGTCTTCTTGAAAACACTGACTTTTTAAGAATTCTTGGGGAATTTTTTAAAATACCTCAAAAGAGTTTTAAGAGGAGCTGCCAAATGTTAATCATGCATCCTAAAAAAAGAAATAACAGAGTTCTTAAAATTTACAGAAGCTAATAAAAATCCAGGAAATTTTATTTGTATGGATTATTTCATGCCTGAAAATGTTCTCATTGTTAATTTGGACTATTTGTCTTACACCAATGTCTCAATATGTTGGATAGGTGAGAAAAATGACAAGATTGATTTTGGTGAATAAACAATGAAGTTCTTTACTGTTGGATGACATAACATTACAGAATGTTAAATTTTTTAAAGTTGAGTTTATTTGATATGATATATGGTCTCTGCTAAGCCCATCACACTATTATTTCAAAATAGGTGCTTGGATAATATCATTTTGTTACTTTGGATGATGCCATTTTTATGCTCAGTATTTTGTCTAGAGGGATTTTTCCTCCCTCAGGATTAATTGCTAAACTTTCATACAAGATTCTTTGAAAAATAAATAAAATTGAAAAATGACCAAATTAATGTGAGGACACTGAGCACTGGAAGTCAAGAACCAGAAAAAGCAGCAGTGTTCTAATTTGTCCAAAGAAGAGTCTCAGCGATGCTGCCAGACTACTTCACTCTGAAGCTCAGTGGAGCAAGTGCACAGGCTCATGTATATTCATGGAAAATGGCAAATTGTGCCCTTCTTTTTAAGTTATTGATGTCACCACACTGGGTGTACTTCTTTCACAAAAGCTTTTAAGTGAATGGGCACCTCTCGGTTTACTATAATGAGTTTTAAATATATTGCCCTATCTTTGAGGACCAAATGCATGTCCTTGAATGTAGCGTATAATCTAACATGAATGACATGGTATGACGACTGGGTAGTAGCAGCTAGCTGGTTTGAGTTTCTGGTGCATGATAGGATTTCCTGCTACATTCAGGAAAAGTAAGCAATGTAGCTGATATTCTGGCTCTCCCTCCACTGGAATTATTTAATGAAGCTCGGGGAGGCCCTGACATTTTCATGGAGAACCTTGGAAAGCAAGGCAGTGTGACCTTTTATAAAATGTTTACACACACACTGGCAAAATAAAATGGTTCAGGTGAGTCATGGGCGGAAGTGCTTGGATTAAAATAGTGTGTTGGGGAAGCTTTGTAAGAACACAACTCAGTAAATTTAAGCTTTGGTGTCATTTTTTTCAGTACCACAGACAGCTCAAAGCACCAGTCCACACAGCTTTTTCATTTTACTAATTTTACTCCCTGTGAACAAAAAAATCACTTTTTATTTTTCTGAGAGAAAGCTTATATAATAAAATCAGATTGTGGAGGTTGTTTAGCTAAGTAGATATTGTACTTTTTCAAATTGACATTTAGCCTTGCTTTCTCTATTCATCAATAAAACCAAAAAAATGTGAATGAATAAATAGATACATAGGTAAACTCTAACAATATCCTGTGTAGCCCCACCTCCTAACAAAGGAAGAATACTATAGGGATTTTTTTTTTACAGTTTGGAAAGGGTACTTGATACCAAATAAAGAGCTTCCGCACCTCATATCTCATGTCAAATAACAGGAAACATGGAAGTGTGATTTCTGTAACCTTTCTTTTTGTTTCCAACTTGCAGTGGCGTTTTGAGATATTACTCTGGCAGAATATCTATAAAGCAAAGTTTAAATACTAATATCTTCAATATCAGAAAGTTTGAGTGTAGATTTCACTTAAGTTTTTTTAGATGTATTATACTATCATTTTTCTTTTGCAAGCAATTTTTAATGGAAATTGGCAAACACTAAAGATTCCAAACTGGGAAGGAAAGCCCCTTGGGCTGTTAGCTGGTTTTCCCAGTTCTTAGGGGACTTGAAAGAATAAGTTCTACACTTTAATTAGAAAACATTTTTCTTTGTTTTTCTTTTGAAGACAGTATAACCAAATAATGAATGATATTAGGAAAATATTCTGATCGTTTTGGTATCTTGCAATGAGGTAACTAATGCATCTCTTTCAAGTTAGTTTTTCAGAGATGCACTGTATACATCAATAACTGGAAGAACAGGAACTAAGATAGTTCCTCATTTGTACACCAGGGCCACACAAAGGAAGGAGTGAGGGCAGGGACCCTAGCAACTTGATGTTTCCTGGCCTGGCTGGGTAGGGGTGATTCCTCACCACTGGGTAGATTCCGTGGCTTGTCTTGTAAAGGCCAGGAGTGAATACTGGCTTTCCCTCTTCACCAGGGAGCGAATAGATGGTTTTGGACCAGGCAGAAAATACTACATAGTTGTTACTCTTATTAACAAAATAGCAGACACACATAGTGAAGGTAATTCAAATAGTAAAGAATAGTTTAAAGTAAAAAGGGTAGTCTCATTCTAAATACTGTAGTCTTGTCAGAGGTGACCACTTTAAGTGTTTTTAATTGTGTATATCTGTCCAGAATTGCAAAAATATGAATTTATATTGGACTTTTTTTTCTCATCAGGACAGAGACCTAGCTTGTTCTTCTTTTGCAGCTTCATATTTTATTGTTTTATGAATTTCCTGTGGATTACGTTGACAGCTCTGTGCTGGGAACTGATAGGAAATTTGGAGTTTTCTAGGCTTTTGCTGTTACAAGCTATGCTAAAATGAATATTCTGTGCATTCATTTTCAATCTGAGTATATGTAGGATAAGTTTCTGGCAGGAAAATTGCTGAATCAATATTAGGGCTGAATGCGTAGCTTAGTGGTGGAGCACTTGCCTAGCATGCAGGAGATAAGGAGTTGATTGCCAAAACTGCAAAAAGAAAGACAGCAAAAATCTATGTATATATGTAATGTATCTGTGTGTATGTAGTATATGTATGTGTTTACGAGTAGCCTTCCACCAAGATGAGAATTTATAGTCTCTGCTCTCTTACACCATTATTAATCATGGATATAATGAAAAGGATTTTAAAAATTATGTTTGCCTGGGCAGAGCTCATGATTCTGTAGGCTTGCCTGTATCTAATTGATAATACCTAACTGTATAATTTGCTGACAGTTGAATAATTATGATAAAGCTGTGGTTAGAAGTACATACTTGCCACATTTTTATTATTTTAGTTAAGAAAGTTTGGAGGAAGTTGGGAAAGATGAAGGAAGTTGAAACTTTAGAGGATATGATCTCCATTGGTTTTAT